ACGATTTCTCTACGATTTCTCTACGATTTCTCTACGATTTCTCTACGATTTCTCTACGATTTCTCTACGATTTCTCTACGATTTCTCTACGATTTCTCTACGATTTTCCTACGATTTCCCTACGATTTCCCTACGATTTCCCTACGATTTCCCTACGATTTCTCTACGATTTCTCTACGATTTCTCTACGATTTTTTTACAATTTCTCCAGTGCTTCAAGGGTACGCGCGCCTTTTTATATTCCTAATTCCAAGATCAGCCCCCTAACATAACAGATTGCATGTAGATAGTGATTTTATTTTTCAACAAACTGAACCATTACCTGGTAACCTTTGTTATACGCGTTGCCACAGAAACACAGATCAGAGTTCCTTAGAGCCGCGATACTGTAGCCCTGTGCGTTACACATGTCAACGCATGAAGCGATCGTAGCTGGACGCGTTGGGATGAACGCCGTAAGATATCGAGGAACTTGGTCACGATAACAACCCAGGTAAGCAGGCTCGTCTGGGATGAAATGAAAACAAAATATCTAACCATGTCCAGGCCTATTCCAATCAAATTCAACCCCCCTCCCCCTCCATCTGTCCATCTTATCACAGCATATCTAACCATTTCCAAGCCTATTTCAATCAAATTCACACTCTCCCTCCATCTGTCCATCTTATCTTAGCATATCTAACCATGTCCAGGCCTATTCCAAACAAATTTAACCCACTCCCCATCTGTCCATCTGTTAATTAATTTGGTTCCAAAAGGCATGTCAGTCATGCATTAGGCCCACATACTTACTGCAAACAGCCGACTTATTAAACACTCTGATGTCGTTTTTAGTTTGGTAGATGTACGAGCCGTCTTTGTACCATACCATGTATCGACCTCCTACGATCTCCCGGATGTGTGCCGGCTGGAACGCGAAGGAATGGGGACGGTTTACAACGACGGCATCTCCCCATTTAATCTGCAACAGAAAAAACACAGGGAGACCAAAGTGAGGGAATGACCGCAAACTTTAATTAGCAAATCTTGTAGCGCATGCGCATGGTACGTCATAGCCGCCATGTTGGTTGACGATAATTATAACAAAGCATTCCTCATTAGCTTCTCTTGTTAGATTAACCAAGATGGCGGCTGTTTCATTGTTATCCTCCTATTCTTGGGGTGCATGTCACGTCATAGCCGCCATGTTGATTGACGATAACAAAGCATTCCTCATTAGCTTCTCTTGTTAGATCAACCAACATGGCGGCTGTTTCATTGGTATCCTCCTATTCTTGTGTGCATAGTACGTCATAGCCGCCATGTTGGTTGACGATAACACTGCATTCCTCATTAGGTTCTTGTTAAGTCAACCAATTTAGCAGTTGTTTCACTGTACGTTATTAAGATCTCAGGGAATTTTGTTTTACATGGTTGCACACATGCACACGGTATATATAGAACCTATTTACTTTGCATTTAGGTGTAATATTTTCCCATTTCAGACCACGTGTAATTCTCTTGAGAATAACATTCTTATTTTCAGCTGTATCCATATTCATGTGTCTTCTCGTGCGCAACCGTTAAAACAAAGAAATTAATGATACTCTAGGGAATTACACGTTGTCTGAAATCGGAAAACATTGCGTTCAAAGTATAAACGAAGTTTGTCCTCTCTCGGCAAAACAGGCAGGATAGATGTATGCATTGAGATCGAGATTGTGCAAAAGGCCGAACCGCGCGCATGCGCAATGTGTAGTTACTACTTTATTACCTCGTGTAGTTCAGGAATTCGATCTTCGATAACGTCATATTTGCTGTGTAGGTTGTAGCTCAGTCGATTCCCGTTGTCAAACAGCACATTAAGAGAATTAGTCAGTGACTCGACTACTCCTTTGTAGTAGTTCCCATTCTTCCAGCGTCCCACCACTCTCGTATCAGGCTCCAAGCAATCTAGATATATAAATGGAGAGTAAGACTGGAAATGAAATTGTTGTCATGACGACAATAGAGCCTTTTACTTTGATGGTTATAGTGTTTGGAACACGGTTCTTTTTTTAAGTTTCATTTTTATCATTTAACTCTCACGTAACTGTTACATCAAATTTTTGCCTGTGATAAAATACCTGAATTGCATCTATATACAATAGCTGAGGGTCCTAACTTAAAGGGGTAAAATGGGAGCTGGGATTTGCCTTTTTGGGGATGGGAAAATGGGATTTTATGCACAGCTGGGACTGGAACATCTATCCACAAAACAAAACAAAAAACAGATGAGATTGAGATTTGAGCAAAGCCTAGGCTAGGATTATAAGACTGAGTTCAAAGGGGTCTGTGAAATGGAATTAGGACCCCCTTCAGGACCCTCATAAAAATCAAACCGACACAATATTCGAATTCGTACTCACCTGGTGTTGCAAAGGCTGTCTTTATGGCAAACACAGCAAGCAGAAACATTCCCACACTTCGGTCCATCATCCTATTGGCTCTCTCGTCACGTGAATATTAGTTCAAATTTTCTTTACAATTTCCAACCAAGTGTCCAAGACGATCCGTTTTCACTGCTCATGCTTTTCCAAATTCTTTAAAAAAGTAGTAATTTTGATCGTAATAGTGTAGCAATATCTGATTATCTAAAATAACTTCAGAGTTCTATTTACAATAATAATTTCTGGCAGTAAATTTGCTTCACGATAAAATATTTGTTGCAATTATCCTTGCCAAAGAGGATTTTTTGTCAATGGAATTTTAAGATGATCTTTTTAAAAGCGATTTATTTTCAATACCGTGCCAATGCTTTTATCCTTGCTATATGATAGTTTTCGCAGAGTAAAGACCAATGAATTGGAAGCGATACGTTTTAGGAGTTCTGTCAGTCTTCATGCAAGTTCTTTAGATCTTTCAAAGTCATTCACCAGAGGTATATATCGCTTGTAGGACAATGAAATCATCGACAGTCTTTCTTTCTTCCATGATAAATCTGTCGCGTATCCATCAGGGTTCCATCGCTCTATTAATCAGCCTATCCTCATTTCTTCTCGCTAATGATTCTCGTCTAGTGGTGTTCAAATCGCTCAAGGCCCACCTCTCTTTAAATTACAGCGTATCAAATTGACTAGCTTAGTAAAGATTTGGTTAAAACGATTAATCTGTTTGTAACTCTTTACCGCTTTTAAATAAAACCATAAAAAGTGAAACAAAAATACTAGATTCCTACGTGAGTTTCCAAAGACAAAGAAAATTTCATAAATAATTCATCCTGATCGATCGTCCAGTGTACTTTGCTTTTACAAGTACGAGGGTATATTTATATGGAATTGAGCTTGTGGCCTATTCAATTCCAAGCTACTCCACCAGCTAACTTATGACCCCCCGGTCTGCTAACTAGTGTTTTTCTTGATCGGAAAAGTATTTTTTCCCCTAAATTGTTAGTGATAGTTCTTGCGTTCAATATCAAAACAAAATGAACTAAAAACACATGAATTAAGATTAGTTAATGATCGTAAAATCTGTGTTTGTTTGGAATATTTTTGATTGTCAGATGTTCTACGCATGTCAACCAAAAATGCTGGTGAAAATGACATTTTTCTTTCAATCAAAATGAAAAGAAAAAAAGAAAAAAAAAATTGTGCTTAATTTATGGGAAAGAAGTAGTGATTAAATATCCCTTATACTTCTTGTAATATTGATTTCAATTTTGCTTTCAATGTATCTTGTGCAAGTCGGTATAGTAAAAACCTTTAATAAGTTGTTTATCTATCGGAGAGGCCAATATTAATTGCTCTTATCTGTTGTTCCGGCGTATAGACATTCTTCCATTTTGAGCACTAGCCCCCTCCTCTCGGAAGCTCAAATCTCATTCATCGGTCAGTGAGGCGACGCTGAACTGTATCACGATGAGGTAGTGAATCGACGCTTTGCACCATTACGTGATATGGCTGCCATGACAGGAGGTACAACATTTTCCCTGGGAAACTAAAATATTTCTTATGTAAATCAGATTAGACCTGATTTAATTGTTCCTGTCTCTCCTGTCATGGCTGCCATCACGTGATAATGCAAAGCCTCCGACTACGAACTTTTCCTATATGGGTTTTCCACACATCACAAGCTAAGTTCTAATCCGATCTGTGCGGTCAGCTAGCCTAACTGTTAGGTTTAGTTCAATTGCTTGATAGTTCAATCAATTGTCATTTGAATCTAGTGAATTGTATGTTAAACTATAAAAGCCTGTTACAAAGGTTTTTTCTGGGTTCCACAAATATTTGAATGCGCGCATTTTCTTTGTAGGTAGTTATAGTTGACTATGGTATATTCAAGTCGCGCCTAGAAGTCTTTTTTTCCGAGTTCCAGAAATATTTGAAAACGTTTTTCGTATAAGTAGTTTTTAGTTGTAGGTTTTCTGTATGGAGTTACAGTTGACTATGCTATACCCAAGTCGCGCCTAGAAGTCTTTTTTCCGAGTTCCAGAAATATTTGAATGCGTTTTTCGTAGGTAGTTTTTGGTTGTAGGTTTTCTGTAGTTCGACTAATATGCACCGCGGTTACTCTAGATGCTAGATGCAGTTGACTATACTCTATATTCAAGTCACCCGTAACTAAATATCCACCCCTTGTTATTCATTAGACTTTTTGAGTGAAGTCTGTACGCAATGGATGCGTGAAGCAAGTTCAATTAAAACACCCTACAATCATGTATGGTGTGGCTAGTTAATAGTAGACAATTTCACAAGATGGGTTACTTCACCCCGCACACATTGCTGGACCATTGCGTCCTGTGATGCCTTAATTTCAAACGCGGGCTCTGATGGGGTGTTATGCTTACCTAAAATGTGCATGTCATTCCCGACATCACTTCGTGTCGTGGTTTTCTAAGCTTCCCTCGTGTTCTCTCAGCGTCCTACTGGACGTGTTACTGCTGTGTCCGATATTCTGCGAACTCAGAGATTTCAAAAAAAAGGTATTGACTGATTATTTTTGATTGACGGAATTAAAAAACCAAATTTCAATGTGCAGCTCGCAACTACCGAGTCATAGAACATGGAGAACCGCAGTAAGGTAAGAGTATCTAAGACGAAATTAAAACGTTTTATGTTTCTTTTTAAAATGTTTCAGTGAATGTTCGTTGTTGAAGTTAAATTTGTTAATTCAACCAAATTTAATTGAAACAAAAAAGCTTCATAATCAACTGCAGGATTTATTGAGTTAGTATATGAAGGTTGTAACGTTTGTTCAAGCAACGCTAACCCTCTTTCTTTATTATTTATGCGTGGTTCTACAGGGTTGAGGTACTTCAGGCCCGGTGTGCGACAAAAGAGGGTTTTAGATTAAGATTCGTTTTTACTTTAATGTTTGTATCAGTGAATATTCTGAGGCTAAAATGATACTAGACCTGAGTAAACGAGTCTGCAATCAAGGAACACAGCGGTAAATCAACAACCCATGAACCTCATAATGAAATTACGACATTTTAATAACCAACACTAGACACAGATAAACATAAACACCCTTATTTTCATTCGCCTACGTTGTTTGGACACCCATTGGTTTGTCAAATTCAACCCCCCTCCCCCAGGGGAAATCGCCATATTCAGTATAAACTTGATGTCTTACTTATTCAGTGTTTCTTATGGTCAGGGTTATAAAATGGATGGATCTTCGATTGAAAAAAGAAGAAAAAAAAACATTTACCAAGTTTAAGTTAGCCTAAGCTCGAAGTTATCTATGTACAAAAAATGGAATATGAATTCTACATATCACGTGATCATGATTGTCGTGTTCCTATTGGCTGGGGTCTGATGACACCTCGTCGAATAGGTCCACGCGACGTGACCTGTAAGCTGTTCGGAAGTCCTCGTCAAACAGATCGAGATCCTCTTCATCGCGTAGAACACCCTGGGAGAATGAATGACAATTGTTAGAGTGAAGCCATTTAACCCCTGGAATAAAAACTATTATAAAATAACTTTATGCTTTATGAGATCACACAGCACGCGCACGCACTTTTAGTTTCGTCATTCCTGTAATTTGTATTTTATAAAAGAAATAGAAAACTTGCTGTGCTGTGCTGTGCTGAGATTCCCATTTCAGATCGTGTCCTTCTCTTGAGAATAAGATTCTTTGTTTGAGTTGAATCCATATTCATGTGTCTTCTGGCTCATTTGTAACCATTAAACAAAGAAGTTATACTAAAGGGAATAACACGTGGTCTGAAATGGGAAACACTACGCTCAATCTAAAAAGATCTATAAGCCCCTTGCAGCACGAATGCCGATCAATTTGGAGGGCAATGCAATAGGTTTTGAATTCTCAGGAGAATGAAATTCTTTTGTTTTGTACTACAAATTGAGCTGCATTCGAACGTGATGCAAGGGATTTATCCCTCCCTGTTGGAGGTGTAATTTTAGGAGGGTACGCGACTTAACAAGATTCAAGTCTGGCCTTGAAAAGCATTTTAAGTCTCGTTAAAAAATAATCCTGTGCGCCATGCAATACTTCATGTTAAGTGTTTTAATCTTAGTACTTTGTAACTTTAATTTTTGTATTTTGTACTATATTTTCTGCCTGTAACTTTAATTTGAACGGAGCCCCACTCAAACCAGCTTTGCTGAACTGGGCACCTCTGTATAAATATTGTTGATGAATAAATAAATAAAATTAATTTTTACGCGAGTGGAAAAATATTGCGAAGCAAAAATAACACCAACACGTAAATTCTAAATACCTTTGGAAGATAACCCAGAAGTTTAGTAGCGTGTTCTCGCAATAATCTCTGTCTCTCTTCCTCGATGATCTGTCTGCGGAATGATTCCATTCTTTGTTCTTCAAGGCGAGCGTTTAGCTCTGCTTCCTGTGGACAGACAGACAGACAGACGAATAAGGGACGTAGTCAAAACAATACTATTTCTGGGTTTTAATCAGAATTTAATAGACCTTATTCGTGGTGTGACAATGTTTTCCCAATTCAGCGTGACAAACCTCCAGGGGATTCATTTTCTTTGTTTTTACTCTTTGAAAAATTCATGAGTATCCCAAAGGATACGAAAGGAATAACGGTGATATCCCGACGAGTTTCAAAACAATAGCTCTTCATTCCCCCAGAGGTTTGTCACGCTGAATTGGGAAAACATTGTCACACCACAAATAAATTCTATTAACTGCTCCAAACTGTAATCAAACACTGACCACCATGTGCTGTCAACCAGAAATATTTCTATAGTAAACTTGCGATTCAGATGATGAACATTACGCATGCGATAGTAAATGAGCTTAACTGAAACCCGGTAACTGTCATCTTACGGGGCCCGTGAGTGAGTCATTAGCCAATGACAATATTTTATTAGGTACATAGATTAAGAATTTCATTTACATAAATTAAATAAATTAAATAGAACCTTAAATTAGTGCCAGCTAATTGAAATAACCTCAACGGCTAAACTGGTCAGTAAAACAAAATACAATTTTTAGTCATTAACTTATACTGAGCATATTAGCTTCTAAAACGGAGCACCCTAAAACAGTGGGAGGGGAGAAGGGGGGAGGGTGAGAAATAAAGTGGAGGAGCAAATTCCAAAGCGAAGTGGATATTAGCAAACATTATGAGGAGTCTTGCAGCGCCCCTCCAAGCCACTCCCTGTCTCAAGCCCCTGCGGTATAGTTTTTTTCAATTCCTACAAGCCTGAATAAAAATGTTTGTTTTTTACGGAGGGAGAAATATGAGTATTAGACGTACCCTTTCCATCTGGTGTTGTCGTCGTCTATCATCGATCAGTTGTTCTACTGCTCTCTTATGTTCTAGTTGCTTCATTCGCCTTTTTTGTGCATTCATCTGTTCTATGCGATCATCTTCAGCGAATTTCTCCATCATCTGGAATCGTAGTCAAATGACATTAGCATTCAGTAATAAACATTGTCTGTCTGTCTGTCAGTCAGTCTTCTCTCACATATTCACACAATAGTATGGTGTTCAGTAACTGGCATTGGATCAAATCTAACAGTGTTACGGCCCACAACCTAATGCTTTCTATTTTTCTCACTTTTTTATTTTCCTCTTTCCTTTTCCGTTTTTCTTTCCTTCTTCCATTTTTCTTAGTTATATTTTTCACTTTTTTTCTACCCTCCTTTCCTTCACTTCCTTCCTTCCCGTCCTTCATCTCCTTTCTTGCATTCTTCCCATTCCTTTTCTTTATCCCCCCTATTCATTTCTTTCATACTCCCCCTCCCCTTCTACCGCCCCTCAACCATTTTTCATCACGCATCATCATCATCATTATTAATAATGCGGTTTATTTCACCTTTTGTCTAAACTTTTCCTCCTCAACCCTCTCAGCCTGTAACCGCTGTTCTTTGAATTCCAGCTGCTGTCGTCGTGTTTCTTGTAGGTCCAGACGCTGCCTGATCTTGTTTTCCATTTCCATCTACAAGCGAGCATTGCTTTCGTTAATAAAATATATCATGATTCACAAAAGTATCTATCGTACACGTAAGTTTACATGATTGACACTGAAATGGCTTCCTTAACACACTAAAATGGGTTCTCTGATGTATTCTGGGATGTTCTGAAATTTGAACACTGAAATGGCTTCTCTGATATATTCTGCGATGCCCTGACATTGAAATGGGTTTTCTGATGTATTCTGGGATGACCTACATCGAAACACTAAAATGGCTTCTCTGATATATTCTGAAATGCCATTGAAACACTAAAACGGTTTCTCTGATTCATTCTGTATTGCCCTGACATCGAAACACTAAAATAGCATTTTGGAATGCCCTGGTATGGACATAAAATGGGTTTTCTGATGTATTCTGGGTTGCCCTGACATCGAAATGGAGTTCCGAAAAAACAATCGTATGCAGTATATAAGTACTTGTCTGATAAATATTCGCTAACAATAACATAGCTTCCCTATTACATTCTACTTCCTGCTCAATCTGCAGTAAAGAAATGGTCTTTATAATATATTGATCGATGGCTTGGCTTTATGTTGCAAAACGTTTAAATGGCCTTCTGATGGGAGAGACTGAAATGGGTTTGTGATGGGAAACACTGAAATGGATGTCTCATGAAAAAACCCCACTGAAATGGCATTCTAATTATTAAAAAAAAAACACTAAATTTAATTCATGATGGGAAACACTGAAATGGCTTTCTGATGGGAAAAAAACAACATCATTAATTGAAATGGCTTTGTGAGGGGAAACACTGAAATGGATTCATGATTTTTGAAAAACTCCACGATGTAAAAAACGACAATGAAATGGCTTTGTGATGGGAAAAAACAACAACATTGAAACAGCTTTGTGATGGGAAACACTGAAATGGATTCATGATTTTTGAAAAACTCCACGATGGAAAAAACGACACTGAAATGGCTTTGTGATGCAAAAAACATTGAAATGGCTTTTTGTAAATATTTCTGTCTGGCTTTTCAATCCAAATTTCAGGTTTCGAAGCACAATATAAGATGTAGCTAATTACTTCCTAGTCTTACGTATTTTGGTGTTAATGAGCTTATGATGTTAACGCTACAGATAGGCAATATATTACTATCATTAGAGGTCTGTCTTACCCTTTCCTTTTGTCTTTCCATCTCTTCCTGTTCCTCCAAGTACAGCTCGAGACGAATCCTGGAAGTAGCAAGAAAAGTGATTAAATATTTGAAAGTATGGCATACCCCATAACGCATAAAGTAATAAAATCCAACGTCGATAGAATCTAGCTTGATTGAGTGGATGAAGAGGCAATGCTGTTGTTGCTGTTATTGTTACTTTGCTGGTGTTGCTGTTGCTACTTCTGTTGTAGTTACTGCTGCTACTGCTGCTGCTACTTCTCTTGTTGTTGTTACTGTTGCTGTCGTTATTGCTGCTGGTGTTCCTGTTGCTACTTCTGTTGTTATTGTTGCTCAGTGCAGCTGCTTTTGTCGTTGTTATTGTTGCTCATGCTGTTGTTGTTGTTGTTACTATATTTGAATTCATTCTAGCATTCAACATAACATATTCTAATACTGTCTATACGTTTCTTACCTCTCCATTTCATCGCGATCCTCTGCTTCTTGCTGGATCCTCTTAGAAAGCTAGAAAACACATAAGCATGAATATTTTAAAGCACTAATACTAGAATTCAGTCATGAGGGAATATACATAATGGCAATCAAACATAAATACTTTACATTAAAAGAATTTGAATAACGATATAGGACGGTTCCAAGTTCATAACAATATAGGATGGCTCCAAGTTCCAAGTTTTCTTGTGTTTCTTCAGAATATGCAATATCAAAATTCAAACTATTCTGTGTTACGGTTTTTCAAGACACTTCGTATAAATGGTTGCCGATTCCAAGAAGCAGCAACATTTTCGAATAAAAAAATTACTTGTGGTTGTAGCCAAATGATTTCACAAAGCAAACGGTTGACACTTCGTAAAGCCAGGTTAAAGGTATTTCCGAGAAGCAACAAAAATGTTGAATGAAATAAAATATCGCAAAGAATGCTGGTACTTGTGGTCAGATGATGTCATAAAGCAAAAGGCACTATTGACACTTACAGATTGTTGTACTGTTGCCATTGCTTTCTCTTGTTCTTTCTTCTTTTCCATTCTTTCCTCTTCTCTCATTTGTTGTAGCTTAGCAAACTCCAGGATTCTTTTGTTCTCTTCCTCCATTAGCTCTCTCTCCCGTTGTTTCCACTACGAAGGTTACATGAAAAAGAAGTAATATTTTTTAAATACCAGGAAGATAAATCTTATAATCTTAGTACATTAGGCTTTTTGCTCGTGTGTCAAACCTGATATAATTACAATGATTTGGGATTTAACCTACATTGTAATTATATTAAGTATGGCAAATGAGTAAAGTGTTGTAATGGGACGGGCCTTATCATTATTTCTGTTCCATTGGAATATTTTTCATCAAAATATTTTAATTATATATGTAACAATATTATATTTCTGATTGTTTTGTGGAATAAAAAAAATGCCTGCGGCACAAGTCATGTACATATATATACAGCTGGAAGTCCATTTTTTTGTTAAGCGAGGCTGGTGTGTGGTGTGTGGTGTGTGGTGTGTGGTGTGTGGTGTGTGGTGTGTGCGGTTAATGCGTTGCCTCTCACCACACCAATGTGACCCAGGTCCTAAGCCTACCGTTGTTTGTTGGTTCTCTCCTTTGCTTCGAGGGTTTTTCCTCCGGGGTCTCTGGTTTTCCTCCCTCCACAAAAATCTAATTCTAAATTCTAATTCGATCTTAGGATATATTTTGGATAAGATTGACCTCTTATATCTCCTTTTGCACTATAATTGAAATAAAGTGTTTACTGATTTATCACAGGGTCTTACCTCTTCTCTCTTAGCCTTGAATTCAGAAATGTATCTCTGTGTGGCATGCTGCTTCTCTATTCTATTCTGTATTTCTCTGCCAAAAACAAACAAGTTGATAGTACAGTATGACCACAAATTATTGTTTGGAATGTTTGGAATAATAATTTTAAAAAAAACAAGATGGCCAACTTCAAACCAGAGGTATCCCAAACATCTTACCTCTCATCTTCTTCATAAATCTTTCTAACAATTTCATCAATCATCAACTTCTCCTTCAGGAACTCTTCATAAGCCAGTTGCTTTCTCTTCTCCTTCTCTGCTAGCTGTTTCTCTAGTTCTTCCTGGTAGCGTACGCTCTCTTCCCATCGTTGCTCCTCCTTCTGCCTCTCCACAACCAGTGCGCGTTTGTATTCTTCTTCCATCTTGCAGTTTATTTCTTCTTCTATTTTCTATTTAAAAAAAAAAAAAAAAATTCTTATTAACAAATAATTATGATAACAATACAATAGCAGGGACAAAATATATTAAGAAAACATATAATGTCAATTTAGTAAAATATACTTTGTACTACATTTTTTTAGCACCCTACAGTTATTCCATATTTTTACAATGGTGAATATAATAAATCCAGCATGCTCATTGGTCAAAATGTATGTCTTATATTGCTATATTCACCTACAATGAGGAGCTGTTTGTCCAGTTATAAATAGTAACCTGTTTGTCCAGTTATAGATACCTGTTTGTCCAGTTATAAATACCTTTTTGTCCAGTTAAATACCTGTTTGTCCAGTTCCATGACTTTTCTTTCTGCCAACTGTGCAGCTCTCTCTCTGTTCATGTAACCAGCTTTAAGCTTGGCTTCAAGTTCACGCAGCTCAACACTTTAAACAAACAATTTTTGGATCAGTAATATACTACAAAACATCAGAGGACATCGTGTTGTTTTTCAAACTCTTTTCACATTCCTTGATGATGGGTTCGGTGACCCAAAAGCTTGGGTGTAAATTACGTTAAGATAAAAAAAACCCTCGATGTTGAAAAAACCAAATAGATTAGAGAAGTTCCCATATATGACTGTGAAAAGCTCACCACATGAACACAATTATGACACAGCAAGGCATTAGCCCGACAAATTAAATTTGAGTTTACTCTTCTTCCAATAAAATGCCTGAAACATAGTGTGCATTGGACACAGTCATGGCACTGCCAGACCAATCACATTGTGAGAAAAAAATCTGCCAATCAGAATCCTAGAATACATTACAGTCACACAGTAAAGTACGAGTCAATTATGGCACCAACTTTTTCACAGTCATAGGAAAGCTGCTCTAACTACATGTATGAATCTAGTAGATGAAACCTATGGTGCAAAATCTTCATACTTCTTCAATCATATAACCTTGTTTCTAGGATATGTTACAAAATCCTCATACTTCTTCAATAATATTACCTTGTTTCTCGGATATGTTACAAAACTCATATTTCTTCAATCATATATTACCTATGTTGTTTGTTGGATATGTTACAAAATCCTCATACTTCTTCAATAATATTACCTTTATTTCTTGGATATGTTACAAAATCCTCATACTTCTTCAATAATATTACCTCCATTTCTTGGATATGTTACAAAATTTTCATACTTCTTCAATAATATTACTA